ACACTAAATTCATTAACTCACTGCAAATGTTTTAGTTTTAGGTATAAATAATGATCTATTGGTTATTCCTGCTGACTTTACCTTTAAAAGAGGAAAATGTTTACGATTCTTCCACTTAAAGGAGCTGGAATCATTTATCTTCAATGATCACGTCCATAAAATCGTTCCTACTACCATCTCACCATCTTCTTCTACAGGCAGAACTGAACAGGTGGTTCGATCGTGTTTACACCGATTTCCTTTCCTTCTTCTGAAGCTAATAACCCACTGCTCGTACCAACAAAGAAGAGTTGAGAGCTGCAGTGACCCTCAGAGGTAAGGCTATGATGGGATGGTGGAACCACGCTGCCGTAACATCGCTACGCAGAACAAAGAGCAGAAGCACTGAGAAAAACCGCAGAGTCTGATATAGGAAACCTGTAAAGGAAGACAGCCGGCATGAAGGTCGCATCACGCACAGGTAAGTTTCCCTACACGCCACTCGCTCTGGTGAATAGGCCACGCCCCTTAGGCTTTGATCTGAAAGGAGAGCCGGTGTCTGACTTACTCTCTGATACGGACAACGAAAGCCAGCTTGTTTTTCTCCAGAGGCAGAGGAGGCAGCGGCCTGCGGTCGGCCCGTCGGATGCGCGTCTCATCTCTGTGCTTCCTGTGGCCGTCTTTCAAGAAATCCTCCAGACGCTTGAACTTAAAAGGTTTGCCTTTCGATACCTGCAAAATAAACAATAGTGCATCTGAAGACTACAACACTGGAAGGAAGGAAAGGGAAAAAAACAAACATTTACATAAACGTAAATGAAAGCAGAGTTGAACCAGCGGCGTAGTCGCTTATAACCAGGCTCACCTTTCTCTTCTCAAGAAGCGCGAGCTTGGCTTGTGTGGCTTTGATGGCCTGGTAGGTTTTCCTCTTCTTCAGAAGATACTCTGGTACTAACTTGATCACTTTCTTTGACCTAGAATGATAAACACATAAAAGTTCAATCAATTAAATCCGTTTTATCCAATTGTACCCAGATAATTACTGTTTTTTATCTTTTTTTTTTAAATAGGAACATAGTTCTGGTTAGGGATGAGTGTTGCGATATGATTGATTGACTTTATTGAGAATTTCACTCTTTCCATCAGCTCAAATAGTCAAAAAGAGAAGAAGGGGGAGGTGCCAAAGGAAGAAAATGGTGCATGGGGTATATACAGTATATACAGAGCGTCCACATATGACAGCTGTGTTTTTATAGAAGGATTATTATACAGGGTTAATGCACAGGCTGTTTACATAGGTATTTATATTGATGTAGTTATTGCACTAGTCATGACAGGTGTCACAATACAACATCATCACGATATTGCATTATGACTGTATATTGTGATATTTTTCCCAGCTTTCAAAATTAAATGTACAGATAAAATCAAGTAGAAGATATTGATCCTTGAGTTATTTTGGTATCCATTTTTGTGGTCTGAGTCAGTTCCCACCTTCCACTGTGACCTTTTCCTCTCATTGTTTTAGGCCAAAATGTTTTATTTTTTAATAATCAATTCTTAGAACTTAAAGATCAATATTATATCAGGCAGCTGAAAATCACGATATATCATCAAATCGATTCTGGTTAAGTGTTAAAGTTGTGATTCAACAGAATTTACTGTATGCGTTACATAAAGGAGTGGAGACAGTAGGAGCTCTACCTGCTGTATGGAGGAGCTATAAACACACTAGGATACGGGGCTTAGAGAGCCCAACAGGTTCCTGTTTTTGATGCACTGCAAAAACAGCAGGATTATTTCCTGAGATAATCTTTAAAGCCATCACAACAATAATGGCATTATTCAAAACTCTGTTGATAATATTGCCACGTGATCCAGTCGTTAAAAGTCGCATTTTGTATTCATCAGGGTGCTGCGAACGCAAAAAAAACGACCTAAACAAAGAACTTTTTTTTTGTTTTGTTTGTCCAATAAAAACAGAACATCTCTCCGTATAAATAACCCGTATCCTATCAGAGATGAGTGAGGGGAAACCGCTGGCAAACAGCCCACTGGTAGGCAGCCTGTGTTTGATGATCAGGATGAATATTTGAAAGGAGATGAATGATGATTGTTAGCGACAAAGATTAAAGTAAACAAACCAATCAGACTGGCTGCAAACACCACAGATGCCTGAAAACAAAATTAGGTTTTGAAATTACTTTAAAGCAGGTGAAAATGGCTTATAGATGATGAAAGCCTAAATCCAGCGTCACTGAAATGGTAATACTATATTGGACCATTTTCCATCACGCTTATCCTAAGCCTATCTACAGCTGTCTACAGGACAGGTCTCAAGTCCATTGCAGGGCGACACAAACAGGACAAACAACCATTCATGCACAGACTCACACCTAAGGAGAATATAGAGAAGCCAATTAACCTATCCTAACAGTCATGTTTTTGGACTGTGGGGGAAGCAGGAGTACCTGGAGAGAACCCAAGCATGCACAAGGAGAACATGCCAACTCCATGCAGAAACACCCTGGTCCGGGAATTGAACCCAGAACCTTCTTGCTTCAAGGCAGCCTATATCAGTCTTTAGGAATGAATAATGAATCAATAATTGGTTGATCCTTCCTTTGCATGAATCCATGCATCTCTGACCATAAAGAGGATCAGCTGTGAGATCACAACATGGAAGCACTTTCCTTTGATCGACCTTATTATTAGTATTGATTTCATCATAAATGAGCAATAAGTTACACTTTAACTTTATGGTTTTCATAAAACCTATAGAGCCATTTGGATCTAGTGGCTGAAGCACAATATCAGGAACACATGTAACTGTGCCACCATTTCTCTGTAGATTAAACTGACATTTTATTGATCAACTTCTAATCCTACCAATATAAATGACCAACATTAACAGCTTCGGCATCTAAAGGTTCCCGAAATATGCTAGGAAACCAAACACTGGAAGAATGACAGCATATAGCGAGAATAGCAGCAGAATGATAGCATGTTTTCACTGGTCGCGACACATGATAACAAACGAGCATAAAGCTCAAATATATGAACATCGGGTACAAAAATGAAGGAGTATTCACACTAGAACAAAATAGATCTTTGATTCGGCTTAACGGAATTAATGGATAATTGATAATTAGACAGATGTGATCGGATAGGTGAAAATAGTTCTTACTCTGATTCTGCCATGATAAACAGCAATGGACCGCTGGGCCAAACCGGAAGCTCTTTTTTTTGCCGAGTGGTCGGCGCAATGTCGCCGCCTGCCGGTATGGAGGAGACCCCCTCAGTCAAATCAATGCGACTAAATCAGGGGTCTTCAACGTTTTCCAGGCCAAGAACCCCCAAACTGATGGCGAGATGGAGCAGGGACCCCCTAATTATATATATTGTATGAAATTGTTTTATATCAAACTGGTCCTATAGTCACTCTATTACATTGGTGTCAACAGTACACACATTTGTTACTTCAGTAGAAGTATAGATACCGCAGTTTAAAAACACCTAAAGTATCACCTTGACCTCTTTACTAAAGTAAAAGTGAAAAAGTATGTGCTCCAAAAACTACTTAAAGTATAAAAGTATAAAGTTACCTTTATAAAAACAGCCATATGCCATAAATTTTAAAGCTAAATTTTTCGACAATTTCTAAAAGAGATAGGGCCAAGGATGAGGGAGCTCTTCTTGGTCTCCGTCTCCCGATACGCTCTCGCCTGTGTCCGACCTTTCAGACATTCCACCATCTTTTTCTGAATCCTATTGTAGGCATAGATGNCTATATCAGTCTTTAGGAATGAATAATGAATCAATAATTGGTTGATCCTTCCTTTGCATGAATCCATGCATCTCTGACCATAAAGAGGATCAGCTGTGAGATCACAACATGGAAGCACTTTCCTTTGATCGACCTTATTATTAGTATTGATTTCATCATAAATGAGCAATAAGTTACACTTTAACTTTATGGTTTTCATAAAACCTATAGAGCCATTTGGATCTAGTGGCTGAAGCACAATATCAGGAACACATGTAACCGTGCCACCATTTCTCTATAGATTAAACTGACATTTTATTGATCAACTTCTAATCCTACCAATATAAATGACCAACATTAACAGCTTCGGCATCTAAAGGTTCCCGAAATATGCTAGGAAACCAAACACTGGAAGAATGACAGCATATAGCGAGAATAGCAGCAGAATGATAGCATGTTTTCACTGGTCGCGACACATGATAACAAACGAGCATAAAGCTCAAATATATGAACATCGGCTACAAAAATGAAGGAGTATTCACACTAGAACAAAATAGATCTTTGATTCGGCTTAACGGAATTAATGGATAATTGATAATTAGACAGATGTGATCGGATAGGTGAAAATAGTTCTTACTCTGATTCTGCCATGATAAACAGCAATGGACCGCTGGGCCAAACCGGAAGCTCTTTTTTTTGCCGAGTGGTCGGCGCAATGTCGCCGCCTGCCGGTATGGAGGAGACCCCCTCAGTCAAATCAATGCGACTAAATCAGGGGTCTTCAACGTTTTCCAGGCCAAGAACCCCCAAACTGATGGCGAGATGGAGCAGGGACCCCCTAATTATATATATTGTGTGAAATTGTTTTATATCAAACTGGTCCTATAGTCACTCTATTACATTGGTGTCAACAGTACACACATTTGTTACTTCAGTAGAAGTATAGATACCGCAGTTTAAAAACACCTAAAGTATCACCTTGACCTCTTTACTAAAGTAAAAGTGAAAAAGTATGTGCTCCAAAAACTACTTAAAGTATAAAAGTATAAAGTTACCTTTATAAAAACAGCCATATGCCATTATATAAATTTTAAAGCTAAATTTTTCGACAATTTCTAAAAGAGATAGGGCCAAGGATGAGGGAGGTCTTCTTGGTCTCCGTCTCCCGATACGCTCTCGCCTGTGTCCGACCTTTCAGACATTCCACCATCTTTTTCTGAATCCTATTGTAGGCATAGATGATTCACGTTTGCAGTTTGAAGAACACCTGCTTGCTTCGGATGATTTCCTTTAGCTAACCAATGAGTGTTGCTTTACATGACCCATCCAATTACACTAGTTTTCACTAGATGTGGATGGAGCCAATGATCTGCCTTCATGGCGCACATGACGGGAAATACATTTTTATAAACATTAAACCGAAGCCAAGAGTAACGAGTAACGTTTGTTTTAAAAATGTAAGGAATAGAAAGTACAGATATTTGTCAGAAGAGGAAAAATAAGTAATGGAGTAAAGTTTAGATACCTAAAAAGTGTACTTAAGTACAGTAAGGAAGTATTTGTACTTTGTTACTTGACACCTCTGCTCCATTACAGATGGGGTAATGTAATGAAAGTAATTTCCCACTGGGATTATTAAAGTGTTTCTGATTCTGATTCCTGGTTGATGGGACAGGTGTTGTGAATGAAACGGTGCCCAGGTTTGAAAGAGCTCCTGTGTGTCTCTGAATGTGTGCATTGATAACTGAAAGACATCTTCTGCCTCCATTTATCTGTTTACTACAGTCTGTTGAATTCATGTTAATGTGGATTTAAAGACATTTCTATTAGAGGAAAAAATTGCAGGGGGGAATATAAAAAAAAAGTCTAAACAACCAAAACTTTTGCGCCCACTTTTCCATGGCTCAGACCATAGAACCGTCCCTTCATTCCAGTGGGTTTGCCATATCCCCTTGATAGTTTTGACCATGCTCTTAACTTCACTTATCCCATATTTGAGCAATAAATCTATGATTTCTTTTCTTCTTCCCTGCTTTACACATTTGTTTGCTAAATAAGGGCCATCTACCCCTAACCGGGCTGGTACTAATAAAAACATCAATTGTTTTCCTATTATTATCATCACTCTGTTAAATACTTGTGCCAGTTCTGTATGATGTTTTTCACACTAATGCACTACTAGAGTTGTAAGCAAGTAAAAATGTTCCTGGTGCACTTTCTTCTATCCTGTACACCACTATAATCAGCTCCATTTAAATTAAATTAAGTTCAGTTCAATTATATTTTATCAAACCCAGAAGGACATTACACAGGCATTACACATTGGAGCTTAAAGGCTTGAACGTCCTAAGCCTTGCTGCCCGTTTAACTTTTTGCCCTTTTCATGCTGATTTTCCAGTCATGCAAAAACTTTTTTAATTGGGCCGACTTTCAGCCTGATCGTGAGTCACGTAGTGAACAAGGGGTAACGAGGGGTGATCAGCCTCTCATGACCACCTCCTGATCAGAAATCGTAAGGTCCGGAGAAATCAACCATGTTTTAAATCTAGTCGGCTGTCATATGGTGGTTGCTCAGGGGGCATGCGCTCAAGAACGCATCTCAATATGCGTTCTTGAGCGTTCTCGTGTGCTCGTGACACATCATCAGCCTCAGCCCGAGTACCGTTCCAATTCTCGAGAACGCCTGATCGAGAACGCACCAAATCCCCGGATGTTGTTCTCGCCCCGCCCTCTTTATCGAGCATGCATCAGAGCAGACTTGTGTGTTCTTCAGACTGACCGCTTCCCCAGAATGCCCGGCGGCCGCAGCTTGATTCGAGACAGCGCTAACAGTGGTAAGTTAAACATTCCCTTTTCTGCTGCTGTTGTTCTTCAAAAGTACGTTTTGAAATCGTTTGAGGCGATAACATTATACCTGTGTGGCCTGTTTACAGAGTTAGTGCGAAATTTAAAAAAAAAGTCCGACGTTGAGCGGACCAGAGTGACCAGCAGACCTCCGAGGGTAACCGCAGCCAGGGCTAATGTTACCCCGTATGTAGTGCACTTCTCTCGGTCTAGTTATGTGTGAACTACCGCTCGTTCTGATGGCGGTTTTTTGCTTTAATTCGGCCCGCCATTGCTGGTTTTATACGCACGGTTCGGTAATTTTTTTTAAGGTTTTTTAAGCTTTAGAAATTAAAAATGTTGTTTTCAAAATGTTTTGTGTAGGGAATAAATAGTTTTGACTGTTAAAGAAATGCTAAAGAACGTTGCATGTGATGACGTCACGAGTAAGCTTCTGTTCCAATACACAAACGTGCTTGCGTGCTCGCGTTCTCGTCAAGTCCGATCTTCCTGCGTTCTCGCCAAGAACGGACTTGACGAGAACGTGAGTACATACTCGCGTTCTCGTGAATTGAGAAACGGCCAATGATTCCTTTTCTTCGTCCTCTCAGATGAAAACACAGAAGCATGGCGAGGGTGCAATGAGTGAAATGGAGTTATTTCTGTAAAATTGACAGACCGTAGTAACCACATCTGCTCAGCCATGTCTTTGTCCAAATACATCGTCGCCTTTTCTTGTTAGGCTTTCATCAAAAATTGCACAAATTGCCAAGGCAGCGCGTTTCACTCCAGTGAACTTCATATTCCTCTTTTACTCGTTGTCTGACATGGTTTATAGACGTACAGTGTGAGCAGGTCGCACAGTGTGAGAACATACATGGTGAGCTGTTAACTTTTAAACCCTGCGGTTTCTTCATACAATTTGAGCTGTAGCTGCATGCGACGATTGAAAAAGTCGTACAGTGTATGCCTGGCTTTACTACCTTTCATGCCATCAAATAATCGGGAGACTTTCTCCACTTATATCCTGAAACAGTGCTCCCATCAGAACCTCCCTTTTAAGGTAAACTTAAATCCTCATTGGGCTCCATCACCATCCAAATCAGGTTGCTGGGGATAAAAGCAATTCTTAATCCAGCATCTCTAGTTGTTTATTATCCAATCAGAACTTGACGTGGGTCCAATATACTCAGTCCAGGATGGCCCCCACTACACCAACACAGACTAGTCCAGTAGGACACTTCATTGGCATTTCCCATGCTTTCACTCGGAGATCTCCCTTTGACTATAGGATTAAGTTCTAGGAAGGGAAAGAGGAAGGGACAGGGAGCTGAGAGCAAAGTAATGAGGACAAATAATTATGACTAGCAGCTTTTTCAAGGTAAAGCATCACCACAAGACCTCTTATACAAGCGTTTTTGTATATTAGCTGCCCAGTAGTAATGCTTTGGGCAGCAAAAAAGTGCCTTCTGCTTAATTTTTGATGCTTGTACACATAAAGGTCAGGTGTGTGTCTAGAGGATCCTTGATGGTCCTGAAACTTGTCCAGTAACGTGTGTCCAGATGCGTCTGATGCTCCTGTGTTCAATGGCAACTTTGCTATATTTGCTGTGATCAGGGATTAAAAAGTAGGCTTCATATATTTTTATGCAAG